ATGTAAGAGTGAGCAGGAGTAAGATGTAAGAGTGAGCATGAGTAAGATGTAAGAGTGAGCATGAGTAATATGTAAGAGTGAGCATGAGTAAGATGTAAGAGTGAGCATGAGTAAGATGTAAGAGTGAGCATGAGTAAGAAGAGAGAGTAAATGAGAAAATTATAATATTCATTATTATTGTTGTAAAACATTCTTTTAGATGCTAATTATATCCATTTATTTTACAAATTAGTTTAAATTTCATAACAAAATATGCATTTAAAGTTATTCAAGCAGATAATGTTATTTACTAAGTATAATTAATTTTTACATAGAAAACAAATTTACACCAATTAGAACAAAATATGCAGATGATTTAGGTGATCATGCTAATTATATGGTTTAATATTAGCTGAAGGGTTTATCTGTTAATATACATATATAACATCCTAAATAGTTAACATTCTAGCCATTTATTTAGTGATTTATGTCTCATTAGCCATTATTTTAACATTCGTTACACCAGAGCATTTATGTAAATACTGCTAACCATTTTAAAATCTAGCACTCTCATTCTTCTTCCACTCCCCAGGGCCTAGTATACATCATTATTTACCGCTACAGAGGTTCTAGTATTCATCATTCATTACCATTACAAAGGTTCTAGTATTCATCATTCATTACCATTACAAAGGTTCTAGTATTCATCATTCATTACCATTACAAAGGTTCTAGTATTCATCATTCATTACCATTACAAAGGTTCTAGTATTCATCATTCATTACCTTTACAAGGATTCTAGTATTCATCAATCATTACCATTACAAAGGTTCTAGTACTCATCATTCATTACCTTTACAAAGGTTCTAGTATTCATCGTTCATTACCTTTACAAGGATTCTAGTATTCATCATTCATTACCTTTACAAAGGTTCTAGTATTCATCATTCATTACCTTTACAAAGGTTCTAGTATTCATCATTCATTACCTTTACAAAGGTTCTAGTATTCATCATTCATTACCTTTACAAAGGTTCTAGTATTCATCATTCATTACCATTACAAAGGTTCTAGTATTCATCATTCATTACCTGTACAAAGGTTCTAGTACTCATCATTCATTACCTTTACAAAGGTTCTAGTATTTATCATTCATTACCATTACAAAGGTTCTAGTATTCATCATTCATTACCATTACAAAGGTTCTAGTATTCATCATTCATTACCTGTACAAAGGTTCTAGTACTCATCATTCATTACCTTTACAAAGGTTCTAGTATTTATCATTCATTACCATTACAAAGGTTCTAGTATTCATCATTCATTACCTGTACAAAGGTTCTAGTACTCATCATTCATTACCTTTACAAAGGTTCTAGTATTCATCATTCATTACCATTACAAAGGTTCTAGTACTCATCATTCATTACCTTTACAAAGGTTCTAGTATTCATCATTCATTACCATTACAAAGGTTCTAGTACTCATCATTCATTACCTTTACAAAGGTTCTAGTATTCATCATTACCATTACAAAGGTTCTAGTATTCATCATTCATTACCATTACAAAGGTTCTAGTACTCATCATTCATTACCTTTACAAAGGTTCTAGTATTCATCATTACCATTACAAAGGTTCTAGTATTCATCATTCATTACCGTTACAAAGGTTCTAGTATTCATCATTCATTACCGTTACAAAGGTTCTAGTATTCATCATTCATTACCATTACAAAGGTTCTAGTATTCATCATTCATTACCTTTACAAGGATTCTAGTATTCATCATTCATTACCATTACAATGGTTCTAGTATTCATCATTCATTACCTTTACAAGGATTCTAGTATTCATCATTCATTACCGTTACAAAGGTTCTAGTATTCATCATTCATTACCATTACAAAGGTTCTAGTATTCATCATTCATTACCATTACAAAGGTTCTAGTATTCATCATTCATTACCATTACAAAGGTTCTAGTATTCATCATTCATTACCTTTACAAGGATTCTAGTATTCATCAATCATTACCATTACAAAGGTTCTAGTACTCATCATTCATTACCTTTACAAAGGTTCTAGTATTCATCGTTCATTACCTTTACAAGGATTCTAGTATTCATCATTCATTACCTTTACAAAGGTTCTAGTATTCATCATTCATTACCTTTACAAAGGTTCTAGTATTCATCATTCATTACCTTTACAAAGGTTCTAGTATTCATCATTCATTACCTTTACAAAGGTTCTAGTATTCATCATTCATTACCATTACAAAGGTTCTAGTATTCATCATTCATTACCTGTACAAAGGTTCTAGTACTCATCATTCATTACCTTTACAAAGGTTCTAGTATTTATCATTCATTTACCATTACAAAGGTTCTAGTATTCATCATTCATTACCATTACAAAGGTTCTAGTATTCATCATTCATTACCTGTACAAAGGTTCTAGTACTCATCATTCATTACCTTTACAAAGGTTCTAGTATTTATCATTCATTACCATTACAAAGGTTCTAGTATTCATCATTCATTACCTGTACAAAGGTTCTAGTACTCATCATTCATTACCTTTACAAAGGTTCTAGTATTCATCATTCATTACCATTACAAAGGTTCTAGTACTCATCATTCATTACCTTTACAAAGGTTCTAGTATTCATCATTCATTACCATTACAAAGGTTCTAGTACTCATCATTCATTACCTTTACAAAGGTTCTAGTATTCATCATTACCATTACAAAGGTTCTAGTATTCATCATTCATTACCATTACAAAGGTTCTAGTACTCATCATTCATTACCTTTACAAAGGTTCTAGTATTCATCATTACCATTACAAAGGTTCTAGTATTCATCATTCATTACCGTTACAAAGGTTCTAGTATTCATCATTCATTACCGTTACAAAGGTTCTAGTATTCATCATTCATTACCATTACAAAGGTTCTAGTATTCATCATTCATTACCTTTACAAGGATTCTAGTATTCATCATTCATTACCATTACAATGGTTCTAGTATTCATCATTCATTACCTTTACAAGGATTCTAGTATTCATCATTCATTACCATTACAAAGGTTCTAGTATTCATCATTCATTACCTTTACAAGGATTCTAGTATTCATCATTCATTACCGTTACAAAGGTTCTAGTATTCATCATTCATTACCATTACAAAGGTTCTAGTATTCATCATTCATTACCTGTACAAAGGTTCTAGTATTCATCATTCATTACCGTTACAAAGGTTCTAGTATTTATCATTCATTACCTTTACAAAGGTTCTAGTATTCATCATTCATTACCATTACAAAGTCTCTAGTATTCATCATGCATTACCATTACAAAGGTTCTAGTATTCATCATTCATTACCTTTACAAAGGTTTTAGTATTTATCATTCATTACCATTACAAAGGTTCTAGTATTCATCATTCATTACCATTACAAAGGTTCTAGTATTCAGCATTCATTACCATTACAAAGGTTCTAGCATTCATCGTTCATTACCATTACAAAGGTTCTAGTATTCATCATTCATTACCATTACAAAGTCTCTAGTATTCATCATGCATTACCATTACAAAGGTTCTAGTATTCATCATTCATTACCTTTACAAAGGTTCTAGTATTCATCATTCATTACCATTACAAAGGTTCTAGTATTCATCATGCATTACCATTACAAAGGCTCTAGTATTCATCATTCATTACCTTTACAAAGGTTTTAGTATTTATCATTCATTACCATTACAAAGGTTCTAGTATTCATCATTCATTACCATTACAAAGGTTCTAGTATTCAGCATTCATTACCATTACAAAGGTTCTAGCATTCATCGTTCATTACCATTACAAAGGTTCTAGTATTCATCATTCATTACCATTACAAAGGTTCTAGTATTCAGCATTCATTACCATTACAAAGGTTCTAGTATTCATCGTTCATTACCATTACAAAGGTTCTAGCATTCATCATTCATTACCATTACAAAGGTTCTAGCATTCATCATTCATTACCATTACAAAGGTTCTAGCATTCATCATTCATTACCATTACAAAGGTTCTAGCATTCATCATTCATTACCATTACAAAGGTTCTAGTATTCATCATTCATTACCTTTACAAAGGTTCTAGCATACATCATTCATTACCATTACAAAGGTTCTAGTATTCACCATTCATTACCTTTACAAAGGTTCTAGTATTCATCATTCATTACCTTTACAAAGGTTCTAGCATACATCATTCATTACCATTACAAAGGTTCTAGTATTCATCATTCATTACCATTACAAAGGTTCTAGTATTCATCATTTATTACCTTTACAAAGGTTCTAGTATTCATCATTACCATTACAAAGGTTCTAGTATTCATCATTACCATTACAAAGGTTCTAGCATTCATCATTCATTACCACTTGACAGGCTTTAGTATTCATCATCAAACACTATGCAAAGCAATAAATAAATACAAAACTCAGGCTGCTATTAATTCCACTACTCGACTCACTTTTTTTCTCTCACACATGCAACTTTCTCACGCATGCAGCTTTTTCACACATGCAACGCCTTTCTCACACACGCAGCTGTCTCACACATGCAACTTTCTCACATATGCAGCTTTCTCACACATGCAACTTTCTCACACATGCAACTTTCTCACACTTACAGCTTTCTCACACATCCAACTTTCTCACACATCCAAATTTTTCACACATGCAGCTTTCTCATACATGCAGTTTTCTCACATATGCATCTTTCTCACTCATCCAGTTTTCTCACACATGCAACTTTTCACACATGCAACTTTCTCACACATGCAGCTTTCTCACGCATGCAACTTAGGCACAATGCCTAGATGACACAATAAGAATTCCATGGGGAATGAGAGATAACTAGATTTGATCTGAGCAAAGGGAGGGGTATCCCTAGTTCTTCAGATCAAGGGCCCTTCACTAGCGTCAAGCATAATGGGCGAAAGCAAGTTCAGAGGAGACTTACCTGACTGGCAGGCGAGTGTTGTGGCAGCCAAACAGAGTAAGACGATCAACAGTGCTGCGCTGCGAAAGACGGCTGTGACTGACCGCTTGCGCACTCTTCCTTTGCTAGTTCCTCGTGTCATCTTTGCTTCCGTGTACCACATTGGATTATCGGTTCTCTCCGTTTTATGCATCGTTAAACGTTTGTTATCTGTTCTGTTTATCCTATCGATTCTCTATTGTTCAGAGCTGCTGCATATTTTTTTCCACGACACAAGTATATCAACACCCAACTGGGATGTGGAACATAGTGACCTGAGACTCTGATTTCAGTATTTTCCAGTGAAAGAAGAGAATTTCAACATAAGTTCCGGCAAAATAGTCACTCGTACCACCAACAAGTTATCATGATTCTCAAAAGCCCCAACGAGGCCTCTGACGCATTCCCCGGTTCATCGTTATCTCTCGCATCTCTACCACAGCGGCACAGTTATAACTAGAGATATTGGCTCTGGTCTTGGCTCTAAAGTGACTGCTCGTATAGATGCTGCAGTTGTTCCTGCCGGAGACACTGAAGTGAAGCTGAGGATCTTACCCAGGCGGCATAGGATGAGACGAGGCGAGTGAATATTCCATTCTAGCAGCAACATTCGGGACGAATTTCCTCTGTATAGCACGCACACCTAGGAACGAAGAAAAGTAGAGTATTATTATTATTATTATTATTATTATTATTATTATTATTATTATTATTATTATTATTATTATTATGTGCAGGCGCTAAACCCACTAGCGTCATTCAGAGATGGAGGAGGGGGATGGTAGCCCCAATTCCTCGAATCATAAGCATTTTCATCAGAATTTAGGTACCTAGGTACCTTACCTTGAAGGAAAAATATGTTTAGGTCAGCCGTGAAGTCAAAAGCTTAGGAAATCGTAACAATTCTATCATCAATACCTTCTTCAAATTAATTTCGTACCCTATATTTCATAACCATAATTTTTATATGAAAACTTTTTGTGATACTACAATACAGTTAAGTCTATCAGTAAAAAAAAAATAATTTCTTTATAATTAATCACATTTTTCAGTGTATATATTATGATGCTAACACATCATATCAACTCTGTGGGTATCAGCAGACCAGTTCAAGAGAAATGGGTAATTGTATGATTAGAGAAGACAGGAGAACCCGTCACGTATTCTAGGAGGTACTGTATGTTCTTACGGAAGAAAGTTCCTGCCCTTACTAAAGGAATGGTCTAAATAGGAATCACATGTTGGTTCACAAGATGGTTCACTTGAGAAATGGTTCCAAGAGATACTGCATGATCAAAACAAGAAGGATCATTCACTCACTTGAAGAACAGAATTGCCTCAAAAAGTGAAGTGTAAATTTGTTTGAAAACAAAGACAAGAAAATTTAATAGAGAAAAATGCTTCTTTTTTTCTAATATTTAGATAAAAAAAAGTTCTCAAAACTCATAAGCATTTTTAAAACTCTTCTACAAGAACAATTATTAACCAACTTCAACATTAATTTACTACAATCAGACATTTTACAATTAATGTTTTTAAGCTGAACCCCCACAATCTAAGTAGATTGTATTAGAGAGGGCAAATGCTTAACTACCTAGTTTTTCCTAAAGTTATGAGAACTTTGAATCAGACATTGCAAGAAGAGAATCGTACTAGGTTTGTTGGGAGAACTGCAGCCTTAACAGTAATGGTATTCTCAACAAACATGACAGGTGTGCAAGTTCATGGTAGGTTCGTATGAAGAGAAGTAGTCCATAGCCCCTATCAGCAGCTGAATGCATATCTACCAATTTCACAAGTCGTATGATCTTATGGAGGCAATAAAATAGCAAACGGAATCTTGTAGCTCACCACATGTAGCAGGTAAATTCCCCCCCGACCTTCTCAAGTAAGTGAATGGACGATCCACTAACCTAGAAGCTCAAGGCATCAAAAAGGCATTGGTCAGTCTGCTACTGTTTGTAACTTTCTTTTTAACTGTGTCGGAGATAGGCAAACAGTTACTAGTCTCATCTATATTTACATCTGCTACAAGTTTTTCCAGAGCTAATAATTTTTATCCTCTTTCCTTCCTTTCCCGCTAAGGCAAGAAACGCTTAAGCTGATACAATGAAAACTCTACTGAGGGTAGGAAATTTAGAACTCTGGCTATCCTAAAAACTTAAGGTTAAATAATTGTATCGATAAGAATAATTACCATCAAAAATAAAAGTTTCTCCCACAGATGTTGCCACAACACCAGCACCTACGAAGGAGAGCCAGTAACGTCATCATTATTACCACCAGTGGCCCTAACCTACAGGGACAATTTTTGTTTTTAAGAGTCAGACGCTCAAAAAGCGATAGTTTTCGCTGGCTCTGAGGGAAGGGGATGCAAAAAGGAGTACGATTTCAGCATATTCTTATTAAAGAGATGGTTCATCAAGTTCTTGATAATGCTACAAAGATCCTTCTGCATGAGGTGACAAAGTTCGTCAGCCACTGTATTATTGTCTTATGCTTAACGAAATTTAATATTCGTCTTTATGAAAGAAATCAAACCAACTGCTGATAGCCAAAGCGGCTATCAGACGTATACCTTGAGACGCTGTTGTGATACTTCAACCAAATGAGGTTAGTTTTGAGATTTCTCAAGGTCATGAAGCAGTTGCTCAGATATCAAGGGCGTACATCACTGGCCTACAGGATAAACAGATTAAAAATCAGATTCCAGCAATGCAATAATTAATCTAATAAAAAATAGATGTGATTTTGTGATCTGTGTGAATCCTACGCCCCCAGGCTCTTCTTCGTTTCGGCAGGAAACAGTAAAGGTTCATCAATGCATTTTAGGAAAGACAAGTTGCTTCTGTGAAGGGTTTCCAGCAGAAAACCCCTATAGCTACGTTTCTCGTTTACGTATCGTTAAATTATCAGCAGGTCAGCGAACTCAGCATATGTTTCTTGGGTGGCTACACTCTTATTGGTACGAACAGTTCCTGGTAACGAATCTCTTACTAAGGAAGCGACAGAATATGGTAACGGAACCAGTTTTCAACCCTTCCACACGTGAAATTATCTATTTCTCCGACTTTTGCATATGTTCTACCTGAAGCCTCATCCATCACACTCATTAATAACAGTCACACTCTGAACAATTTTGGGTTCTAGGTTCTATGCCCCATTTCTCGAGAAATCATTAAAGAACCTGAAGAGGCTGGAACAGAGAATAAGTGATTAAGCTGTACACTATCTCTTGTGGCTTTTCACAAACTGCCTGAATATATTCAGGCTGACGTATTTCCCAGAGTGTTAAACTTCCTTACATAATCCAAAACTCCAGAAGTCGATACTTAATACATTAACTTATTATTTTCATAAAGAACTACCAATAGGATTAGAAAGAAAAATGCCAGGTTAATTTAGAAGGTAAAGCGACACTGTGTTGCAGAGCAAATTTTTATTCTGTTCTCGTTTCGCTCAGTGATGCACTTCATCAAGTCATTCTTGTCCGCACCATTTGCCAGTCATATCAGTACACACAGCAACGCAGATAACATTGCCTGTTGCCTCTAGGGAGAGAGAGAGAGAGAGAGAGAGAGAGAGAGAGAGAGAGAGAGAGAGAGAGAGAGAGAGAGAGAGAGAGACAGACAGACAGACAGACAGACAGACAGACAGACAGAGACAGACGGACAGATAGAGAGTCTCGTTCAGTTTGTTGAGATTCACAATTCCGAATGTTGTAAAATAGCAATTCAGCTAGAAACGCTAACAAGAGTTTCCCCTGATATAATGTTCATCCACTATCACAACATTGCCTTATATCTAGTCAGTTTTTCACTAAAGTGACTTTGTTTCCCTTGCGATCGCTTTTGAATTCATCCGGAAATGATGCTGGTACTGTACACAGTTCGTACTGAAGCACTTGCCAAAGGCCGATATCTGCTGCGAAATGCAAAAAATATATATTATTGATGACTTCTAAGTCATACCCTATTATCTCTAACTTATAATCCTTTCTTTAAAGTCGAAGTATTTTGTCAGGAAAACTATAAGGCAAGTTTTAAAAGGATAGTGAGAACTCTCCAGTTGTCAAATCAACAGCCACATTAACATTTGTATCAGCAACTATGATATTGTGATATTTTAACAGATGGTCAGATGTAAGAAAATGTAAGTTAAAAGGTCGCCAGGTATAAGGGAACGTCGTCTTCCCAGATATAAATATTCAGGGTGCCGCCCTTTCATTATTATGAAAAGAAATGCAAAATAATAACGAGATCAAAAATAATCAAAGCGGGAATGTAAGATAAAAATTTAAAACGATGTCCTTATTATCTCATAAATAATAATGATAAAAAGAACAAACTCTCTCTATATATATAAAGCACGATAACATGACATATCATAAGGCACAAGAAAACCAATATGTAACCCTTACTACTTGGTAGTAAGGGATGTTACTTCAAGGATCATGCAGGTCCTATGATGTTTGCCACAAACTCGGCAAATGGTATGACAGTTTGGGTTTCTTGAATTTGCGGTGCAGTGCTGGATACTGCTGCACGTGTTTGTGGAGGCGTGTGTGTATTGGTGTTTGTGTATGGCGTGTTCTCGTTGTCGTAGGAGTGTTTGCGTGGGCGTGTGTGTGTGTGTGTGTGCGCTTTAGTGCCGCTCTTATCCATCATTTTTGTCAACAGACAACGTTAAAATAAAAATTATTTCCACATATACAGCATCTCTGAATATAATGTCATGTGTCGCGTTGATTGTGTTAAAGAGTGGCAACTAATTTATATATATAGTACGAAGCCTCAAGTGATTGTCACTTACCACTTGGCCACACAAGGTCTTTGGAGGGCATTAGGAAAAAAAAATCAGTGTGTTTGGTTTAAAGTTTAGCGACAATGCGTGCACCATTAAAACTAATTCACCTGTACACTAAAAACTGTCAGTTCTTTAATCCATAAAGCAGTGATGAAAGTAAACTCTCAGTTTATATACACTAAGAGATATTCATCTCTCTGTATACATGAAGTGAAGGATATACATCTCTTGGTTTATACATGCCGAGAGATGTGCTTCTTCAAGTGCATATATGCTGAGGTATATACAACTCTCGGTGTATATAAACTGAAAAATAGTGACATCTCAGTATATATACAAAGAGACATGTACACTACTCAGTGTAAATACCCAGTGAGTGAAAACATCTTTCAAGGCCTTGATTTCCGTCAACAATTTTCCTACTGTTTGGGTTTGGCCAGCTCATGTAACGATTCGTTACAACGAATGTGATTGTCCACGATTTCTTTGCCCAATATATCAGTATTCTTTCCTGTGGCGCTTGTCATTTAAACGCAACAGGAGAATAAATTAGAGTTAGCCGGGCAACCTGCAGAGAGAGACACAAAACACACAATTAAATGAGTGCACGAGACAAGCAGACTTTGGCACGACCTGTTCTGGAGAGCAAAAACTCTAGCACACACACTAGAACCGCACACCGCCTCGACCTGCTCTGGCGAGTAGAAAACCTGGCAGACTCACCAGACACGACGACTGCCACGACCTGCTCTGACGATGAAAATTCTAGGCAGACACATTAGGCATGCACGCTATCACTACCTACTCTGGCGAGTAAAATCCCTGGCAGACACACCA